TGTATCGTCCTGCTTCCATGTTATTGTCCCTGCTTCATGTTATGTCCTGCTTCATGTTATTGTCCTGCTTCATGTTATTGTCCTGCTTCATGTTATTGTCCTGCTTCAGGTTATTGTCCGCTTCATGTTATTGCCTGCGTCATGTTATGGTCCGCTTCATTTATTGTCCTGCTTCATGTTATTTTCCGGTTTCATGTTATTGTCCCTGCTTCATGTTATTGTCTGTTTCATGGTATTGTCGGTGCTTCATGTAATTGTCCTGTTTCATGTTATTGTCCTGCTTCATGTTATTGTCCTGTTTCATGTTATTGTCCTGCTTCATGTTATTGTCCTGCTTCATGTTATTGTCCTGTTTCATGTTATTGTCGTGCTTCATGTTATTTGTCCTGTTTCATTTTATTGTCCGGCTTAGATGTTTATTGTCCTGCTTCATGTGATTGTCCTGCTTCATGTATGTCCTGCTCATGTTATTGTCCCTGTTTCATGTTATGTCCGCGTCATGTTATTTGTTCCTGCTTCCAAAGTTATTGTCCCTGTTTCATGTTATTGTCGTGCTTCATGTTATTGTCCTGTTTCATGTTATTGTCCTGCTTAGTGTTATTGTCCTGCTTCATGTTATTGTCCTGCTTCATGTTATTGTCCTGCTTCATGTTATTGTCCTGCTTCATGTTATTGTCCTGTTTCATGTTATTGTCCTGCTTCATGTTATTGTCCTGCTTCATGTTATTGTCCTGCTTCATGTTATTGTCCTGCCGATCATGTTATGTCCTGCTTCATGTATTGTCTGCTTCATGTTTATGTCCTGCTTAGTGGTTATTGCCGCTCATGTTATTGTCCTGCTTCAGGTTATTGTCCTGCTTCATGTAGTGTCTGCTTCGTGTTATTGTCCCTGCTTCATGTTATTGTCCCTGCTCATGTTTAATTGTCCTGCTTAGTGTTATTGTCCCTGCTTCCAGTATTGTCCTGCTTCATGTTAGTGCCTGCTTCATTTTTGTCCGCTTCATGATATTGGCCTGCTTCATGTTATTGTCCTGCTTTAGTGTTATTGTCCTGCTTCAGGTTTATTGTCCTGCTCAGTTATTGTCCGCTTCATGTTATTGTCCTGCTCAGTTATTGTCCTGCTTCCATGTTTTATTGTCCTGTTCATGTTATGTCTGCTTCATGTTATTGTCCTGCTTCATGTTCTTGTCCTTTTCATGTTATTGTCTGCTTAGTGTTTTTGTCCTGTTTCATGTTATTTTCCTGCTGTCATGTTATTGTCCTGCTTCACGTTATGTCCTGTTTGTCAGGTTAG